ATTGCGCATAGCTCGGAAGGCCAACTTCTCCATAGCAGACTGGTAATCGGGCAGAACGAACATCGTAAAGCTGCCAAGCCCTAGGCTAGGCTTTAGCATCATATCATTAGCTTGAACAAGGAGAAACCAACAAACCTGGAAGACAAATCTGGAAACGAACATCTTTTCCAATCACGCCTTCCTGTCTAAGTTTCACAAATGTCTGGTACGACAGAATGGCCTCCTCTGCATAACCAAAATCTAAGTCGGGATGCGAAGCGATGATATCGAGAAGTGCTTGCTTGGCAGCCTCATCTGTTTGACGCGCAGGGAGTGGATTCATCTGCTCATCGTAACTTCTCCACACTTCTCCCAACTTCAAGCTTTGTCCAGCGATCTTCTGAAATAAGCCAGCGGTAAAGTAGTATCGCCAGCCAATTTCGCCATCCGGTACAGAAACGAGAAGGTCTTTCAGATCCACAAGAGTTCTTCGCATGGCACTTTCTACGCTTGTGGCGGGGAAAGATCCAACGAGATGAGCTTTGGCTTGGATGGACTGTTGCATGATGATTGTGTACTTTGAAGGACCAATGAATGGAAATGCTGTGAGAACGAGTGCAACGCGGATATGAACAATGCAACTACATAAGAAGAGCTAAAGGGTCGATTACAGGTCTATCTATTGCCAAAGAGCCTGGAACATTTCTTGGGGATCTTTTGGATCAATTTCGCCGGAAGTTGACCAATCTGGTAGTGAAGACCATGATTCGTTTGAAGTGAAGCTCATTGCATGATTTTTTCTTTCCTTGCATTGACCGTCGTCTCTTTGTACCGTCTCTCAGAGCTTATCGTCGGCGAAGAGTCGTGGATGCAAGGTGGTAGGCTGCGCCGCAGACTATCTTCCAGCGGCAGAATGGTCACTTTGCGGTTTGCGTGCATTTTCTGAAAATGTTGAGAAACATTATGCCTGGCAATTTAGAACGATCGCCTGCCCTTTCCATTCACGCAGACCTTCAATTGTCAATATTGACGTCATGAGCGATTCCACATCAGTACGCGTTGATTACATCCCTGCCCTTTGTACACGCCGCTCGTCGCTAATTTCAAAGGAGTAGCTGCGACATTTCATCCCACAACCTCCTTACCGCACTGGACCCATGTCAACCCGAGATGGATGTCCGCATTGAATTTATCCATTCCATGGCGCGCGCTCACTACCCGCAACCTTTTCCCCGAGGGCTGGAGATCGTGGAGACGATCTTTTTGTCAAATGCTACTACCCTGATCGCCGATCTGTGGTTGGAAGGATGGCCTCTTGGACGGTTCACTTTTAACTCTGTCCAAGCTCTATCCGCTTTTTGGGAGTCGCAAGCTTCAATGGATGGCAGTCGGCCAAGGAGCTAAACACAGAATGCTTGAGCAGTGTGGGGTTTCTCGAGGCAACATTGCTACGATCTGCATAGATTGTAATCTGTGTTGCAAGGCTAACGATTGATCCAGCTAGATACGCTACATCTGAGCACGTCGCCAGCGCCACGAGTTCGCGCAATTCTATGAATTGAGGGGAACCCTCTTGTCCTGCGGTCCACAGCCGCCACGGAAAATTTTCTCGATTGCAATGCTTTTTCACTGGTTGCCTCCAGCGTCTGTGCAGATTTGGCATGGATTATTGAGGTGGGGTCAAATTGCAATGCGAGGGATGAAGACATGGGAACAAGTATGTTACAGAAGCAACGATTGAGTAGCTAGATCGGCCACTGACATGTCCGCATGCAGAGAGACAATTGATCGCGATTCAATCGCCTCACATGGACATGGAAAACAAGTGTGATTTCTCTGTTCGTAACTTTGTCCGAGAATGTCTCGATTGGTTTCTTCCGGCACTTTGTGAGGACGAGCTCAGACGTTTTCTGTCCAGATTGAGAGCTTTTCGTCCCGGCACATTGAGTATACACTTGTCACTGTTGTTCAGCGGACTCTGGGTGACACGCTTATTGGCCCATCGACTAGCGTTCGCTACTAGCTTATGGTCTCCATCGCTAATCGCTCCTGAGGTTCCACATTTGAACGGGAGTGCCGGATACCAGGTATGCGTACCACTTTCAAAGCTAACGCCTTAATACTGAATAAACTCTGGTGATACACGCTACTCTCATATCGTAAAGCGCAATTGTGGTCAAGAAATTATTGGCTCAAGCTGTTCAAATCTTCTCCGCCGACATGTCTATACATGTCTTTTCTTCTCGAAAAATGCGCAACATAAAAGTGATGGATCCTGCTTCCGAATGCTTTCCAACCATGCGAAACTCGTCACTTCTAAGCGCTTTATCATGCGTTTTCCCTTTGCTTGCTCCAACATGGCTGCCACCGAGATTTTACATTCACCGAGTGAACTTAATGATATTGAAAATCTCAAGATCAGCACTTCCTCCCTCACGCCAGCCGATGGGGGCCCTGCAGCGTGGAGGATTTTGTTAGCAGCTGTCATTCTGGAGTCGCTTCTTTGGGGATTCTTGCTCTCCTTTGGCGTCTTTCAGGATTACTATGCTCACCTCCCGCAGTTCGTGGACGATCCGAATATTGCTGTTGTTGGAACTGTTGCCACGGGTATCGCATATTTGGGTGCGCCAGCTATTGTTCTGATGATGGATAGATTCCAAGGGTGCGAGCGCGCCTTAATTTGGATTGGTTGTAAGTCTTCCTGCTCAGCATATAAAGTCGGTCTGCTGACGTATTTTGCTAGGGCCACTATGCTTGGGCGGCCTCGTCGCGGGGTCTTTCGCAACGACTTTGGCAGGCCTAATCTTCACTCAAGGCGTGATGTACGGTGTTGGCTTCGTCCTCCTCTATTACCCAGCTATCCATTTCGTTAACGAGTTCTGGATCAAGAGACGAGGTTTCGCGTTTGGCACAATGTGCGCCTCGTCAGCTCTCGCCGGTGTGATCTTTCCTTTCACCCTGGAGACCCTACTCATGAAATATGGATATCAGATTACGCTTCGTGCGCTTGCTCTGGGCCTAGTAGTCTTGACCGCGCCCGTTGTACCATTCCTGAGGACTCGCGATCCCTCGTCCGAGCACCAGTATACAACCGCGTCAGATGACTGGAAGTGTCTTGGAAAGGTTGACTTCTGGATTTATTCTATCGCCAATGCTATTCAGAACTTTGGATACTTCTTCCCAGCATTGTACCTCCCGTCCATCGCCACATCCGCTGGACACAGCGCGACTGAAGGGGCACTCCTCGTGGCCGTCCTGAGCATCGCTCAAGCAATGGGCCAATTCGGCTTTGGATATGCGTCTGACCGAAAGATTCCTCTAAACATCCTCGTTCTGATATCATGCATGTGCTCCGGCACCGCAATCATATTCCTCTACTGCCTCGCACCCAAGACACTGGCCTGCCTCATCACCTTCTCCCTCACCTACGGCTTCTTCGCCGGCGCATGGATCTCCCTCTGGTCCCAAATGGGCACAACAATCTACGGTGGCAAACCACCCACCACCCTCGTCTCCCTGAGCCTCCTCTGTTTCGGCGCCGGAATCGGCAATGTGGCCGCTGGACCTGTCAGCGCAAAACTGATTAACCTCCGTTGGGACAAGCCCGGCGCGGGAAAGTACGATCTGGTCATGATTTTCACGGGGTTTTGCATGACGTTTGCTGGTGCCGTCGTTTTGGCCGTTATGGTGTGGCGCGGGCTTAGCGCCCGTTGCGCAAAGGCTAGGGACGGGATGGGACGTTGTACGAAAAAATAGCCGTTGCCTGTGGGATCGGGCCAATGGGCGATTTTGCGCGGTAACGAGAGTTTGCGTTTTTTGGGAGGCTTTGTGGAGCTAATTCGGCTTTTCAGGTTACGGGGCTAAGCAGCTTGTAGAGTTGGATTCCTGGATTTCCGTGCAACATAGGCGAACTGGTTTGGAGCATTTTGGGAGTCGAAAAATTGTGCGGTTAGGCTTTTGCTTGGAGGGGTTGAACATGATATTTTGAAGCATATTGCACTCGTCATTGTAGCGAGTGCTGTAGTTGTTATTGAAACAGATGGTATCTCAAGAAATGTCCTCGACCACCGTGGTTCCGTCTTTGCAGAGCCTCCAATATCATTCTCATTTAGGCTGATATATCTCTGAATAGGTCAGAACGCTTGAAGACCTTCTCCATGATAGGAAAGCCGAGTGTTCAAAAAACAAGCCAGTCTCGCCTATTGCAAGTGATTGTACCCGGATAAGAGTAGACACTTCTCAACAGCCCTTACCATTCAAAGACATGATTGTCTCCAATCTTCGTCTATCCACTCTTTGCATGTCTCCGCCAGATATACAGATCACTCATATGTAATGTGAAAACACTTCGATCAACCTAGATCGTCCGAAACCGATAAATCCAATTGCCCTGAAAAATTAAAATCCTAACAACCTCTAATCCCAAGCTCTTGGAAAAGGGTAACAGCACTGCCGATGATTTCTCCAGACCCGATTTTGCCGCTCTCTATGGCAATCAGGAATGTGCACTTGGATTCTCTAACTCGATTTGCGTTTGCTGGATCCCGGTGGCTTGCCGAAACACATTTGTGTTTGCAAGAATAGGTTATTGGATAGGACGATAATAGCGAGCTACTTGGATTCATTGAATGGCAAGCAAATGGCGTGAGTATTCAAGTATTGCTGTAGCACGAAGTAATCAAAATAAGAGATGAGAGAAAGATAGCAAAGAGGTATAGGTACTAGATCATAAAGCGTTAGGTTTGCCAACGGTCACTGCGAGCCTCAGGTAATGGCCAATGAGAGAGTTATCGGGGTTCGACAAGCATTACTTATATTCGGCGGGATCAAATATGGAAGACGACGAGCAAGGAAAAGGCAAAGCGGGCGATGGTGACTGTGACGGTCCGACTTTCGACCAATCGTTGCACGGATTCGCTTGTCCACCTAAGATGGTACATTCGGGTTTCCAAGAAGAGCGCGAGGCTGAAGCACGTGGGATATCATCAAAACGGTCCGGGATTTCGGACAGATTTCAACAAGACCGTGTGGCTCAGTTGGTTAGAGCGTGGTGCTAATACTGCATGTGTTGCAACGCTAAGGTCCTGGGTTCGACCCCCAGCATGGTCAGACAATCTCTTTTTGTCTCTCCGAAGCATTTATCCTTTTCATTCGGCAATGTGGTGGTTGTTGAGTGTCGTGGTTTGATAACCCTGAGATGAATTAGGGAACTTTGGACTCATAACCTCAAGACTTTAGGACGACGAGATTTTATGGTTTTATTGGGAACAAGGATTGTTGGTGAATGGGAAGAAGGAAACTCTGATTCTGACGAGTCCCCAAATCGGCGATAGTGAAGACGATGGACAATTTGTTTCATGGTCAAGGCAGTCTCGGATTCGGCGGAATATAGGAAAACATCGATCTCAAGCGTTCTTCCACAAATGATTGGTATTGATTGATGTTGAAGTTATGGACTCTACAAAAGTTCCAAACGAATGAGAGCAGCTGTGGATTTTCCAGATAGCACTGGGAGCTGACTGATTTCACGCACTGCAGTCGTGGTTGGTGATTCTATGCTGTAGTTGTATGGAGTAAGTGCATCAGAGTATCAATGAACGATCTGAGCTTGATATTTTAGATCGTAACTTCTATTGTTAATCAAGCTCGCTACCCTTCTGATACCGCTTCGATCGCTACCAGATAGTGGAAAGACAATTTTGATTTGATAGCGGAAAAGAAAGTTCGTTCGTGAAATACTCGCGGAAAAGCTAGGACAATCCGCAACTTGTGACTGTTTGAGAACGGCAAGGGATTGAACATATTCCGATCTAGCCTATAACAGGAATTGGTGATTGGCCAGCCGGCCGAATGAGCGAGTGGATGATTATGCCGATCTGCCTATTTTCAACAAGTCCACAACTATTTCCACTAATTTGAACAACTGTCGCGCAGATCTGATGCACGGCGAGTGCCTGAACTATTTATGGAAAACATGAGTAGTGTTTGAGTCGAGTGTGCTCGGTCACGTGGTCATTGTGCAGTTCGCGAGTGCGAATTTCTCTGGACTTGCTGACGGAAGGGGCCTTGGTTTTCTTGTTGCTCGTTCCTCCCAATATGACGACATGTGGCGCTACATCCGAGTTTGGGAGGAACGAGCGACGAGAAATTGTAACCCACCTTAGTAGAAGGGGACACGGGCAAGTGCATTTCACCTCGTTCCGCATACGAGACGTGTTATAAGGATCCCCAGTCCCTCTGCAGATCGGTACAAAGACATGCGTAATCGTATTACCGTAAATGATACGATCATTCAACCTCTTTAAGTCGATGGATAATGCCTATGCAACTCGAGAGTGGAGATCGGACAGCGGTGCAAGGACCACGCAGCGACGAGACCATAGAAAGTCCCGAAATGGATGCACTCCTTGCAAGAAACGACGCGTCAAGGTACTGTTATACGGACTCGACACTTGTACGGAACCTGGGCTAACAGAGTCATTAGTGCGATGAACAGACGCCATGCTCAAATTGTGTAAGGAGAAAAGAGGATTGCGACAACTTTCTGCCACAATCTGTAAGGACGTGCAAAACCTGCTTCAACCAGCAGAATGCGACCGTGAGTGCCGATTTTCATGTGTTTCTGATGAATGTGCCGGAATCAAGCTGAGTAAAACAGACATCCCCTCAGGTCCTGTACTTGATGCATCATTATACCAAGCGCACCGCTAGCAGTCTCATGGACGACAAGGAGATGAAGCGGCACTGGGAAGGGGTGATTCCTGAGGAAGCACTGAAGCACCCGTTTCTTATGGAAGGCTTGTTAGCAATGTCAGCTCTACACTTAACATCCATGCGACCAAAGGAACGCATCACGTGGACGCCGCTTGCCTTCAAACATCAACATATAGCGCTGTCGCACTTTCGGTCGATCATTCCGGACATCAACGAGGAGAATTGCCATGCTCTGCTGGCCCTCTCGATTCTGATATCTGTTACATCAATGGCTTTCACCAGTTTTGGTACCAATCTTGGGCCAGATGAATCGATTCCTGTTCGCGATATCATTGAGCCGTTCATGCTGATTCGAGGTTATGGAGAAATAGTTGGAGCAGCAGTGCAGTGGCTGTTTATTGACCCACTGAGATCCGTTCTGGTCGGCCATGGCGTGAATGTCTGTGAGGCTCTACCCCCTATTCCTGTTGCAGAAAGATTCAGTCAGCTTTGTCAAATGGTCACCAATCTTTGTCAGGATGGAAAGTTCCGCGAGGTGCTCACAGAAGCTATCGAGACTCTGCAGTATGTCTACACTGAGTTGATTTTCAGTGCAGGTACAGAGTTGAACAAAAACCCTGGAATCGCGTGGAAGTGGCCGTACATGTGCAGCCAGGAGTATTCCAACCTGCTCAGGAAATCGCACGGAGGAGCATTGATCATTTTTGCGCATTTCGCTCTGCTCTCGAAGACTTGGGATGGCATTTGGTTTCTCCATGGATGGGCGCCGAGAGTGATTAATGGAATATATGCCGCGGTCGAGCCCTGCTGGAAAGAATGGCTCGAGTGGCCGCGGCAGCAGATTAGAGACAACTATCCCATCCTGAGGCTGCCGGAAAAGCCTCATGAGGAGGTGGTCGTCGAAATCGATTCACAAGAATGCTCACCAGAGTTTGAGCAAACACCGCTGGCAGTAGACATTATCGATGAGAGAGGCAAGTTTGTGTTGAAATTTCCCTGGAGGGAAGAGATGATGCCGATGTCACAGGCACTTCAAAGATTTTATGCAGAACTGTAGCAATTGAATGGAGTTGTTGTTGTTGTTGAAGCATAGATGGTCAAATAAAATTCCGGGCCGCTCAGGAGGTTCGGATCTCTACACGTGATCGACTATCCCGAAGCAGAGATCCGGTCTCGCGGTATCTTCCGGGCTTCTCCAGCTTCAGTCAAGCATCAGACCAGCACGCAGGTCAACAGACTTCGAGCTGTCTCGGCGAGTGAGGACATAATCACGGACAGGATCGGACTTCTCATGAACGATTCCTAGCTTAGCCTGCTCGAACCAGGATAGAGACAGCGAAAGAAAATAGGCTCAACAGTTTACTTCGTCTTTGATACGAAGCACCCTGTGAAGACGTCCTTTGTCATCTGTCGGTTGCATCGCGAATATGGTCCTTCCTCGGCACGTCTGATATGGTCTTTAAACTTTACCGTACAGGTAGCTTCCAGATCCGTTACAGCCTCTTCGCTTCTATGAACCTCGGTATTCCCCCTCACTGCTGCAAAGCAGTATAATCAAGACAACCGATTCGGTGCTTTGACGAGGAAACACAGAGCGACCAGATGCATCGCCCGATATCACATATCATTACAACCAACGATAATGGTCAAACCCGATCCTGAAGCCCTTTCTCAGCGACTGAAAACCAACGAATACCGCGTCCCTCACGAGATCCTCCTCGAACTCCAGAAACAACCATGGTGTCTTGAGACCCTCAATAATCCTTCATACCTCCCCCTCAGCTCTTCCTCTCGAAACCCTCCTCCATACCTCGCTGGTCGCTATACATTGATGTCCAAGACCCTCTCAACGAAAGATACGATATCCATTTGGCAAGGGTTCTATAAACCCTTTGTCTCCGACGAAGATCCAGATGAAGTACGCATTCTACTGGCATTGGGGCCCGACATGGATGGCCATCTGCACACGGCACATGGAGGAGTCTCGGCATTGATGCTAGACGAGGCGATGGGTACGATGGCTGGGCTACATAAAAAGCCTGGGAAAGCGATTTTCACGGCATACATGAATACCAACTATAAGAAACCGGTTCCAACACCGAGTGTGTGCTTGATAAGGGTTACATTTGATGCGAAGAGAAGTGCTGGCAGGAAATTGTATGTCAATGCGAGCTTGGAGAATGGCACTGGTGTCGTTTACACTACTGCGGAGGCCATGTTTTTGGAAGCCGAGCGACATCATGGTCCCAAGATTTGATTGGCCGTCCTGGCTGTCGAAGCGAGTATAGAAGCGTAGAGTCAAAACTTGCAAAATAGATTTGCGGTTAGTGATCGTGGTCCACTTTCTTGTTGTGATGTTTCGCCCGACGTCTATGATTTTACACATCATGATGAGGAAAAGCGCTTTTTCTGAAACTTGAGCACATCGGTCTTACGCTGAACAGCCCGATTGGTATTGTTGATCTTCTTCGGAGAAAATAGACGGCCTTGGTACGCGCCTAGGGCCAACCTAGGAGACAAATGCAACTGGAATTGGCCAGAATTAAGAGTGCCACCAAGATCAGAGGAAGGGCCGACGATAGCCATGCTACACCCGAGATGGAAACCAACGAGGGCGGTGTGGAGAATAGAGATGGCGTGGTTGACTGTGAAATAGAGGATGTTTGTATCGTAGATGATGTCGAAGTTGCGGTCGGGATATTCTTGGTGAATGCAGTCAGCAGACTGACAGATGTGGACGCTGGTTTGGATTCGTAAAAAATGTGGCAAATCAAACGGCAGGTCAGAGCAGGATGAATGTGTTTTGCGCCTAATCATCATCGTCGTCGTCACTGCCACTATCCCAGCCATCAACATATTCCTCACCAACTCTCAACAAGTCACTTCTCAAACCCTCTCTTTCTTCAACACCCACAGCCCTCCCCACAATCTCGGCCAACCCACGGATCCTATGCGCGATAGAACTGGAACTGGAAAGCGCTGTATGGATAGCCAATCCGTTGGTCGGTGCCTGCATAGTATAAACAGGCAGATCACCTTCAGCGCTGAACTGTCCAGGCAGATGGTGTGGGTATTTGAAGATTTCCGGGTAACTGCTTGGGAGGTTGAAGAGTAGTGGAGTCTCGAATGTTTGGATGACTGTGTGAGCCGATGACTCTGGAAGAGCGCTCCATGTGCCACGGCACACATTTACACGCGAGAACGTGTGCGATCTTCTATTCCCGCCTCGTTCACTTTTCGAGAACCTGATGTCGAGGGTATCAGGTTCTTTGGGTGCTTCATCTTCCTCGTCGATTCCATTGGTCATGCGATGGTCAGTGACACCGTTAGTGACGGGCTCAGAGTAGGTGTTAGCGTCTCTAGCAGTCATTTCCACCTCAAGGATGTTTCGGTTG